TTGACTCCATTAGCCGAATGCGTTGGTTAATTATGCCATTTGCAGACCATCGGGTGTTTGGTGACATTTCGGGATGGCACCTCTTTCTTGAGTTTCCAGTTAAACTGTTCAGATTCATGGGCCACGCTGGTTCCAAACCGCTGAAGTCCAGTACGAATTGCCACAGGTGGCCCCAAGTTGGCATCCATTTACAAACCGCAGCCCCGAAGTGTTAACAAACCGCGTTCGAAACATCCCCGAGCACAAACCGATTGTGTAAACCGAATCGCCGGAAATATCAAATAAGCTTATTTCCCGGTTTCAAGAGACGGGGGTCGATGCAAACGGGGGTCAGTCAGAGCGCCGGATGTTGCAGGACCTTGCAGAAACCAAAATGCATTGACCAGGGACTGCGCGCAGGATCTTACAGAATCTTTCCGGATTTTGCGAAACCCGATTGACCCAAGTTTGGATTTGCCCGGGTTAATCGATCGCCGACATTCGCCTTGATCGCGTTTCCACGAAAACCAACGACAAATCCAAACGTCCCTTATGTCCAACGCAGAGCCATCAGAAATGCAAATGGTGCGCCTGCCAAGCCACCCCACATGTACATGCGTACCGAATGCGCAGCAGCGTTCCCAGCGCAAATCGCGCGCAGGCCAAACACACAGAAATTGGAGACATGCGTTTCCAAAGCGGCTCCAAACACAAGCCACGTGCACAGCGAAGGCACCATTATTATGCGCAAAGCACCGTCGAGCGTAGTGCACGTGCAAATCCATTGTTCAAAAGTGCAAGCGACATTCCTTCCGTGAAGTCCAAACACAAGAGGGCATGCTGGATAAAATTCCCGAGACGCAGTCCTCAGCGCAAGCCACATGCAAACCGCGAGCCCAGAAGTGCGAACCCTGCGTTTTCCAAGTTGCCCCACATGAGATCCGATAGTGATGAGGACAATCAAAGGATGAGGAGGTATGGTGGGGGCCGATCGAGGCTGGAGGGCGGAGGACGAATATGGAGGGAAGGAAGAGGAGGGCGTAGAGGAGCAGGACGAGGAAGGATGACGAGGGGGCGACAGGGAGGATGGCGGAAGCACCAGCAGGATTATCGATCAGGAGGACCACAACCATTACCACGGCCACGATGACCGTGCCAACGCCGACGACCACGACGCAAGCACCGACGACGACCACCACGACCACCACCACGACGACCACGACGACGAGCACGACCACATCAACGACGATGTCGACCACCGCGAGGCGACCACATCAACGACGATGTCGACCATCGCGAGACGACTTTGACCACCCACCACAAGCATGGCAGCGCCCACGACGCCGACGGCGGCGACGACGACGGCCGTGGCCTCTGGTGGCCGGGCAGCGGCGGCAGCAGGAGCGGAGCGCGTTAGGGCTGCCAGCAGGACCAGGTCGTGGCTCTTTTTGTTCATCGTCATCATCATCATCATCATCATCATCATCATCATCATCATCATCATCATCATCCTCATCCTTATCCTCATCCTCATCCTCATCCTCATCCTCACCACCACCACCACCACCATCACCATCATCATCATCATCATCATCAGCATCATCATCATCATCATCATCATCATCAGCATCATCATCATCATCATCAGCATCAGCATCAGCATCAGCATCATCAACATCATCGAGTCTTTTTGGAAGCTTATTCTGACATACACCACCTTGTCGTAGTAGCCTTTAGTGACCTCTAGCTGCCTGTAGTGTACTACTGGCGGCCTCTGGTCTTCCTTGGTGACCTTTTAGCGGCCTCTGGTGGATTTAAGCAGGCTTTATTGGCCTGTAGCGGCTCCTGGTGGCCTTTGGCGGCCTTTCGTACATGCAAACATACATTAAGCATGTTACAACGAGCTTCCAGACAGACTCACTTGATATTGGGGGGGCCCACTCCGCCGCCGCAGCGTCCGCGCGTGTCTGCTCGCTGTGCGCGCTGGTGGGATTCCCCCCCTCGCCAGGGCGACCTCTGCTGCGACGGTTGTGTTCGGTAGCAAATCATGGGATCCTTGTGGGCCCTCGAATGGTCGTCTTTCGAGCGTGTTAGCGCGCGCTGGCGTCTGGCAATCGGTGGGACAGTGGTGATCTAGAGCCGGCGATGGCCGATTCAGCGTCGATTCTCGTCGGCCAGTGCCGATTCGCAAGATCCAGCAGGACGACATGGGAAGCTCCCAGAAACTGCCACAGACGTCTCGGAGCTCAGGCAGCGGGGGGTCTGCGCCTGACGGGGGTTCGGCCAGTCTTCTCCTTCTCCTCCTCCTCCTTCTTCTCCTCCTCCGCCTCCTCCTCCTCCGCCTCCGCCTCCGCCTCCCCCTCCGCCTCCTCCTCCGCCTCCTCCTCCGCCTCCTCCTCCTCCTCCTCCTCCGCCTCCTCCTCCTCCTCCTCCTCCTCCTCTCCGCCTCCTCCTCCTCCGCCTCCGCCTCCTCCTTCTTCTCCTCCTCCGCCTCCTCCTCCTCCGCTTCCGCCTCCGCCTCCCCCTCCGCCTCCGCCTCCGCCTCCGCCTCCTCCTCCTCCTCCTCCTCCTGACCCGGGCTCGGGAGCCACGTGGGGCCGACCGACCCTCCGCGACTTCCGCCGGCCCGGCTCCGGGAGCTACGAGGCGACAGGCGGGGCTTCGCGGCAGCGCCCTGGCTGGGGGCCCAAAGACTATACACCTTAGGCGATGCTTAAGAAAACTTACGTCTTCGGCCAGAGTCTCGATTATTCTTAATGTTTCAATGTAAATCCTAAGATGTTAATAGGACTGTGGGGTATTTATTCAAGTTCTGAGACTATGAATTTCTTAATCCATGATTTCTTAAGCATTTCGCAGGGTGTACACCACCACCACGTCGATGCCTCCTCTTTCCTCTTTCCAGCGAGAGGGAGGGAAGAAGAGAGGTGGTGGTGGTGGTGTATATGTCTGGGCCCCCCACTGGCCGGCCCGGGTCAGGGCTGGCTCCAGGCGAGTGCGTCCCCGACGGCTTTCGGCTTTCGAGGGGGATTGCGGCGCGCTCTCGGACCCTGGCGACGAGAGAACCAGGCAAGGGGCCGTGTTTTGCTGCGCTTTCGATCTCCAAAGGGCGTTGCCCAGCCCCGGGACCGTCAAGTCAAGGAACGATGCAGGGCGAACAGCCAGCCCGATGGAAAAAGCTCAGATCTCTGGGGGACACATCGCGAAGCAAATGGCGACACCAGTTGTCTGGGCGGTGGAGTTGCCAGGCCAAACTGTGTTCTCCTGGCCTCTGGCCATGGGGGTGGCGGCCAGATTCCTGGATTCGCCTCGACGGGACGGAGCGCGCTCCAAGACATGGCCAGGGCGTCGAATGTGACAGGGGGGGATGCCTCCCCCGTCTGCGGCACGAGCAAGATCACTGCTGGCGCGTCTGTTCGCGAGTCTGGAGCTGGGGGCCCCGCAGAAGGGATCTTTGGCCACGGCCAAAGATAGACTCAGAACCCCGGGAGCCCACGCCAGGAAGCAGCATGATCGTGCGTGGTGTGGCCCGGGGGCCCCCGCGTCGTGGGCCCCAGGTGTCTGACGGTGTTCTGTCCCTGTGGGCCCCTGCGGGGCCCTCGAGGAGTGTCAGCTGGCAGGGAAGAGCCGGCTCCGGGGAGGGGGTCGAGACCTTTTGGCCAGGCATCGCCTGGACGCGTGCATGTTTTCCTCGGCGAGGACCATCGAGGAGCATCTTGGGCCATCTTGCGAAAACGTACCCACACGAAGCCGAACAATGTACTGGGAATGGACGTCCGAGCGATGGCGAGTTGGGGTCCTGTCAGTTTTCCGCCCCCAGGGGCCCTTGCCACGCCCCAGGGACGACACCCAAAAATCTGAAGGAAAAGCCGGTTCCGGGGAAAGGTTCGAGACCTTCGGGGGCCCACGTTGCGACCATTTGACGACGTGGGGGGTCTGGTTCCGACGAGTGAGGTCTGCCAGGCAGTCCTAGGATCAGAGGTCCCTGATTGGTCCCGATACGGTTTTATCAAGTTCCTGGCTTCGGTTTTGTTTGGACTTCGGCCTCTCGTGGACAACAAGTTCGGGAAGAGAGAGAGACGTTTGATGGGCCGATTTTCCGCCACCACTACCGTAGGTAGTAGAGGGAGGAGGAGAAGGAGGAGGAGAAGGAGGACCTCCCCATCTTCCCTTCTCCCCCGTCCTACGTTTCGTAGCGGTGGTGGACAATTGGCCCATCACACGCTGGAGGAAAAGCAGGTCGGGGCCGTGTTGGTCGCGCCTGCCGTCGCAGCAAGGCACGGGCGGTCCCTCTCGCGGCGCGCGCACATCGGGCCAGCCGTTCCCGGGGGAGTCGCTGTTGGTTTGCACCCCCCCAAGGGGGCCATCGGCACCAGCCCAGGTTGACCCAAAAGGGGGTCCAGCGACAAGGGGGTGGTGCAATAGATTTGGTGCAAGAGATTTGTGGGGTTGTAACTCATGTGGGGCATGAACTTCATTCCAGGGTGCAAATGTATTGCTGGATGTTCGCGTGCAATACATTAGTTGCAATCCAAGGCAATGCAATTCTCCAGCGCAGTAAATTTGCAAGACCATTGCCCAAAATCTATTGCACCACCCCCTTGCAGCTGGACCCCTTTTTGGGCCACCCAGAACCAGCACCCCTCTCAGGGGCAACACCAGGGGGTGACGTGTCGACCCTGAATCGCCTATCCGCAGCCAACGGGGGCCTGATAGCCCTCCCCCGCCCAGGAAGGTGCGGATTTGCTAACGGGGGCCCAACGCTGATCCATCGGCGATGTATCCGCGATTCAACCTCGATGTCCCCCCCACCCCTGAGCTGGTCCCCCCCCCGACGGTCCTCCTCAGTCAAACGAGCGCGGCCAGGAAACGTTCTGACAAGCGCAGGATCAGGACAGATCGAAGCCAGAGACTCTTTGAGAGAGTCCCAGAGGAACGTAGGGCGCCGTCTTCTGCGGAGCGCCGACACGCTGGGCCCCCCGGCGGGGGGTTGCGCAGCACAGCTCCCCAAGTGGTGGCAGGCCGGCACCCTGCCAGTCCTGGTAGGCGGGCCTCCGCGGCGCGAGCCATGGCGCTCCAGGGCCCGCTCCTGGAGGAGCGCGGGAGGTGGGCGCCGGAGGTCGACAGGATCTACGATGAAGGCGGGCAGGTCCCACCAGGATCGGGGTGGACGAAAGTTGAGGGAGAACACGCTGTCAGAGCCCCGAATCATCAGGGGTAGCTCGGGTCAGGGCTAACTCGGGTTCGTTTTTCGGGAATCCAAACCCGAGTTACCCCGGACCCGAGTTACCCCGGATAACTCGGGCGTCCAGAACCCCACATCATCAGGGGTATCTCGGGTCAGGGCTAACTCGGGTTCCTTTTTCGGGAATCCAAACTCGAGTTACCCCGGACCCGAGTTACCCCGGATAACTCGGGCGCCCAACGCTGCACAGACATCAGGTGTCGGATAGGTCCGCGCGGATCCCTCGGGATCTGCGCCAGAGGGCCTCCCCGGGCCCTCCCCTGCGCGCGGCCCCAGGAGCGCCGCCGGGCCGCCACGGGGTGCCAGCGCCGGTCTGAGAAGTCTGCGCGGACCTCCGAACCTGCAATTTATATAAAACGACGCGAAGATCGGGACAACATCGGATCGGGATGACTCGAAATCTCTAGGAATCGGCGGGTTTGGAGGATGTATTGGGCGCCGCGGCCGCTCCAGAGCGTTCCGGCACGCTCTGAGAGCGCTCCGGAACGCTCCGGAGCGATTTATCCCGATCCTAGCCCTGTTTTAAACCTGCAATTTGCAATTTGTAATGTGGCCGGCGTGGTTCTGCAATTTGCTGCTCTCCGAACCTCCAGGCCTCCGGGCCTGGCCGGTGTGATTCTGCAATGTGCTGTTCGTCGAGCGTGGGAGGAGGGTCGGGTACAGCCAGGGCCCCAGGTGGAGGGGATCCGGGCAGTGGTGGGGCCTCGGAGCCCCTAAAGTGGCCAGAGTCACTAAACCAGGTCTGCCGTAACTCGTGTTTCTTCGGGTGACGGCAGTTCCAGTTGGTGGAACGGGGCGAAGGGTCGTCCCCCAGTACACATCACCGAACCAGGTCCCACTGAGCCCAGTTCTGCCAACGCCCGAGAGGGGGTTGTGAAATCTGGTGTGCGCTGCTGGTTTCTGCCCCACGGCTCGGCAGCGTTTCAACGGGCGCTGGGAAAGCCAGCTGCGCGCAGCTGATTCGCTAATCCCCACTTTGCATGCGCCCCCTTTTCGCCCACCCAGAGGAGCGAATCCGCCGAGCTTCAGACCGACGCCTTTGGGATTGAATTTCACCATGGGCCCAGGGCTCCGGTGGGTCAGAGCAGCGACGGTCTTCACACTTATCATGTGGATGCTTGTCATGCCTATCGTGTACACCCAGTTGACATGCGACCCCAAGACGCTCGACGCTCATGCCGCAAAGCACCCCATGTGGGTCTGGGCCATCTTGCTCGTGTTGTCAGTTGTGGTCGTACTCGCGGAAGCGAAGGCCCTGATGTATTGCATGCGGCCGTTCAAAGAGTCACGGACGGATGCTGGCTTGACAGAGGCGTCCGTGTTTTGCTTCGTTTGTTATTGCTGTTGTTGTTGCTGCTGTTGTTGATTGTGCTCCCTGAGGCTTCACGGGAATGTCTGGCCAGCGTGTGGGAATGTCCCAACGATACGGCTCGTATTGGGCCTGGTTGGCGCGCGGGCTTCTGTCAGGAGGGGAAAAAACACAGACACCAATAATCGCTGATCTTCAGGAACATGTGGGGAAGCATTGAGAGTGGGGGGGAAGACGGAGACCCAGAAAATGTGACAAGATGTGGGTGATCTTGGGATTTGTGTGTAATGATATGTCCCGGGGCTCCTTTCGTTCAGTATCGAAGATGCCTGCGGTGAGTCACCGCCGCCTCTGTATGGCACAACGCAACGTTTGCCTCGGAGGCTTCTCATAGCGTCCCGCGGCCTTGGTTTCTCTGGGTTGTCTCCGACAGCCCAGGACGAAACAGAAAGCCCCCTTTCCTCCTCCTCCTGCTCTTCCTCCTCCTCCACGCTCCTCGCTCCTCGATCCTCCTCCTCGTCCCCCCTCCTCCACTTCCTCATTCTCCTCCTCCTCCTCCTCCTCCTCCTCGCTCCTCGTTCGATAGTTCGAGCATACTCTCTCACGAGGAAGGTGATTCTTGACTTCCACAGCACTCTGTCATGCACGGCGTTCTTTGGGAAGAGCCAGACTATTGGTAAGACTGTGTACCAGAACCCGATTGATAACCAGGGATGGGAGCTCCGTGTGCGTCGGGACTTGCCCCCCGCTAGCCGTAAGTTGTTCTACTACCTCGGGCAGACTCGTGCGATCATCGGGAAGGTCCTGGGGGAGAAAGGTTTCCAGGTGGGCAGCAATGGTCTCGGCGGTCAAATATACGGCCTCATTACGGCGAGTCACCCAGTGATTCTGGCGAAGGTCACGGTCCGTGAGTGTGGTCGTCCTGAACTTGTTCTGATTCCTGAGGCCCTCGGAACCTTCGGAGTAGGCGATCATGCAGGCTGTATTGCAACTCTTTTTTTATAAAGAAAAAAACAGATTCGGCCCTTTGTGTGAGGCCCACAGTTGTTCTGGCGCGCCCTGCCTCGGGACTCCCAGTGCGCTGCCTGGCGATTTTTGTCGGGTCCTTGGTGGTTCGGGCCCCCCCTGGGATGTGGGGCCCGTCGGGGGAAACCATCGGACCCGTGTTCCGACTAGCCAGGACTGTGCTCAGCCAGCCAACCCGTGTTTCAATTTGAATTCAGGCGGACCTTTTACCCTTGGTGACCCGTCCTCTGCAGCGAATGGGGTGTTCGCTCCCTCCTCTGCGCTTACCCTGTGCTCTTGGAATACACGTGCTCTCTTCTCTTCGTACTCTACGTCGTCTCCATTGGCAGCTCAGCGGTACAAGCAGATGCATGGTCTTGTCGGCAGGTTCGACGCTGTGTGTTTACAGGAGACTCATGGCACAGTGTCGGATGTGGAGACCGTTGCCGTAATGCAGTTATTCACCATTCGATGATCGATCCGAGAGCTGGGGGTGGTGTGGTTACTGTTATCTCGAGTAAGCTGGCTTCGCAGTTCGAATCGATTTCTCCGTTCCCGTTGATTGCTGGCCGAGTTCTCGCTTCGCACCTGAACGGATGTCGTGGGGACTTAGTGATTAGGGGGGCTCTCCGTTCCACTTCGATCTCACCCCCTCACTTCCGATCTATATATATATATATATATATAGATATGTGTATATATATATTATACATATATACACACATGTATGTAAGTAAGTAGAAAGCGGGAGAGGGAGAGAGAGACATATATACATTGAGAGGAGACAGAGCGAGATGTATACACAGAGAGAGAGGGAGAGAGAGGAAGAGAGAGAGAGAGAAAGGGATACAAAGAGAAACCACACAAACATCAATAACATAATGATAACTAGGGAGAGGGAGAGAGATAGAGAGAGAGATGGAGCGAGCGAGAGAGAGAGAGAGAGAAAATGAGAGCGAGAGAGAGAGAGAGAGAGAGAGAGAGAAGACACGCAACATGAAACAACACGAGCAAGCCACATACGGTGATGTTTCTTCCTTTCGAGGGGGGGAGGCTGGGGGGGGGGAGGGGCCCCCGGGCTTCGGGCCCCCTCTCTTTCTAGGAGTTTTGCTCCGGGGCGGGGAGGGCCTCCCCCCCCCCAGAGGAACTCTTCGAGCCAGCAGTGGTGGATCGCGCTCCCTCGTACGTCACGAGGGGATGCGACGGGGCTTGGGATCCCCAGCGTGTTGGTCTAGGTTCGACGATGAGAACAGGCGAGGGGGACGAGGAGGGTGAGCGTGAACGTGCATGTTGAGGAGGAGTGCGGGGAGCAAAAGGAGGAGGAGAAGATTGAAGCGGAAGGGGACCATGCGTACTATGAATTTGGAAGGGGACGGGGGGGGGACCCCCGAATCCGTTTGGGCTTTGATTTGGGGCCTCTGTGGCCGCCTACATGGTTATTGTTGTGGGCGACCTTGCCTACCATCTCCCATCATTCTGTCCGACCCAGGCTCCCTTCGCATTTGTTTGTCTTGGTTGGGGATGGGAAAGGCGAGGAGGCTGTTGGACAGGAGGCTGAGAAGGAGGAGGAGGAGGAGGCGGAGGAGAAGCAGCGGCAGGCGGAATTGGAAACCAGAATCAGGCGACGGAGAATGCCATGTGTAGTCGGGGACAGGTGGGGACCAGGCTGGTGCGCGCAGTCCACCTCTTCGCCTCCTCCTCCTCGAGATTCCCTCCTCGCCCTCCCTCTTTCCCGAGGTGTCCCCTCGGTCTGCTGCTGATTATCCTCGGTCTCCTGTCCCTCCGTTCTTCTCGGTGAGGCAACTCGCGCTGAGCATGGCTGGGGATTCTGCGGCCGGCATCACCCCAGGCGAATGCACTGTAGGGGCGCTGGCGATGAGTTCACCCGCTTTTGTTTAGCACGTTCTCGGCTGGACTTGAACCAACACTGTCGTTACCCACGCACTCACACAGGAGGGCGAGCAAACGGATTGAACGAGAGGGGGAATAGGAGGAGGAGGAAAAGGAGGAGGTGTCGGAGGAGGGCCCAAGGGTGTGAGCCGGAGAGATGGAGGCGAGGCAGGGATGGAGGAGGGAAGTGCTCTTCTACCCACAACCACGGTGGTGCTCGCAGGTATTGGTGATCACAAGGTCTGCGGAGGCGACAAATGTTGAGGTGCCCACAATCCTTGAGAAGTTCACAGGGTTTCCGGCGTTCCACACGCAAGTAGTCATTGTAGTGATCCTGAACATGTTTACGCTCATGGACAACATGGCGATCACCTGTGCATTGTCCTCTTTGGAAACGCGGCACATATCATGTAGTATCAAAATTTTGGCTCTCATTGGCATAGCGGTGTTCATGTGGAGCGTTGGGAAGAAGTTTTTGGGGGGAGGGGCCAGCCGCAAAAAAACGATCTCCAGGCCCGACTCGGCATACTCGGTATTTTCAAAGTCAGCGATACGAAGTACATCCTTTTTAGGTTGTTCTCGACATTCGTGAACGTGTTCTTCGGCTTGTATATCTTTGGCCTCAGCATGGTGCAGTCAGCAGGGGATCAGCTCTGTCGCGGCACGACCCTCTGGCATTTCGCGTGGGATGCGACGATGTTGCAATCATGGTTTCCGTTCATCTCACTGTACTTCTGGGACAAGGTGGGAACCCTTGCGCACTGCTATTTTGCATGTGTGGTTCTTCTGTTCATATCTTTCCCGAGGGCGCTGCTTCATTCCATCCCGGCACCTTTGCGAGACGACGAGACAGTGTACGACAATAAAAAAACAAAAACGGGACCGATCAACCATGGAGAGGGAAACCACATGTTGTTTGATTTGGATATGTCGGGTTTGTAGGGACGCCTGGACGCCAACGCCACCAGTCGACATGGCTGTCAAGGCAGTGTACGACATGGAATCTGAGAACTGGAAGGAGGTGCGCTTCCGCTCCTGTTGGAGAAGACTCTGTGATCGTTGGTCACAAGTTGTAAAGACTACAGCAATGCGCGTCACTGGTGTTGATTTGGGAGGTTGCCATTGCCTCGAAAGCGTTTGGCAGTCAACGTTTTTTACTGACGCTAGCGTTTCATTGGCCGCAGTTATGGGGTTGGACGGCTTGAAAGATATAGCCCAAACGTTGGCCATATGCCAACTACAGAAATACAGACGAGAAGTAGATTCGGGCAACATAAACGAGCCGGAGACCAGAAAGACGTTCGTGAAGATGCAGCGGCGCTTGATCCTCGTCCTCGAGGCGGCACTCCGGCAGACGTACGGCCACACCGTTATGAGAGGCGGCGTCATCCTCAATCTGCAGGTGACGCAGTTCTATCTCCACAGGGCAGTCATGTTGCACACCATGAACACTATTTATCCGTGAGGGCTTCGCCCCCATGCCGCCGGCTCCCCTCTCTTAGAATGGGACTTGCCAGAGCTGTGTTGGGATGTCTGGACGCTGACGCGAAGCAGTGTCGGGACTTCACGCCAGGACCAACATTAATTCACGAAGGTTTATGGTGTCGTTGGCGCGGAAATTAAATAATTTATTATGATTTATGGCTTCGGGGACGCGAATACTGTGTAATTTGTCAGGGGGTGTGGCCTTGGGGACGCACATATTGAATAATTTATACAGTTGTATAGCCTCGGGGGCGCAAATATTGTATAACTTACGAGTGTGTCTGGCCTCGGGGACGCGGATACTACGTAATTTGGAAGGATGTATGGCTGCGGGGGCGCAAATTTGGTGCAATTTACAAAGATTCATGGCCCTGGGAACGCGAATCTTGTATTATGTTCGAAGGTTTATGGCTGCGGGGGCGCGAGCATGATGTAATTTACGTGGGTGTATGGTCCTGGGGGCGCGAATGTTTTGTAATTTACGAGGGGTGAAAGATTTATTGGGGTTCATGGCCTCGGGTATGCAAATATTGTTCAATTTACAAAGGTTGATGGTCTCGGGAACGCAAATATTGATGATGTACGAAGGTGTGTGGCTCTGGGTTCGCGACTAGTATATAATGTGCACAAGGTTTATGGCCTCGGGGACGCAACCATTGCAACATTTACGAGGCTGTATGGCCTCGGGGACGCGAACATTGTATCATTTACGAAGGTTTTGTGCCTTCTTGGACGCGAATCTCAAGTAATGTAAGAGGGGTTATGGCTTCGGGGGCCCGAATATCGCACAAATTACGACGGTGCGTGGCTCCGGGGACACGAATTTTGCATAATGTACAATGGATTATGGCTGCGGGGGTGCGGATGCTGTGTAAGTTGCCAGGGTTTATGGCTTCGGGAGCGCGAATCTTGTATAACGTATGCGGGTTTATGGCTTCGGGGACGCGACTATTGAGTAATTTGCAAGGGATTCTGGTTTCGGGGACGCGAATATGGTGTAATATAAGAGGGTGCATGGCCTCGGGACGCGAGTATGGCGTAATCCACAAGGGATTATGGCTTCGCGGCGCGCGAATCTCATGTATTTTTACGTGTCCCACGACCCCCCGGGAATTCAGAGCACGCGATTCGGGGGTGCTAGCCAGGACGTTTTTCGGCTCCCCCCCCCTCGCGCGTTCAGCAACAATTAACAGTAAGCAAGCAGAAAGCAGGACTGTAACAGTGGAAACTGGAAACTGCAACTGGAACAGGGAGCTGCAATCCTCATCCTCGCAGCCTGATGGCCCCGCAAGGGGGCCGGCGGATATGGACCACCCGACGCTTTACTCAATCTTGTTCACGGTTGGATCTGTATTAGTGTTCGATTTGATGATCCAGTTGAGACAAGCTTTACACATGTATTGTCAAGTGATGTGGACCATCCGCAGCAAGGTTTCTGGTGGTACGACGCTTCAGTCGATAGGCGGCAGTTCTTGTGAGCAAGACAAGAAGACGATTAATTTGCTCATGATGTATGTGATATTGTGGGCAGTCATTGGTTACTCGCTTTTCGCATACGCCGTCCTCAAGCTGTACATGTCGCTGATGGCTTGCCCAGGTGAAGGTTACAATTTGGGCAGTTGCGCGCCGATTCCTTGGGACTGCTTGAACACCACACTGCATCCCGACAAGGTAGGCTGCATCCGGAACGCTGTATAATCTCAGGCGCATGCCTGCCAGGGAGTCTGATGTGAACCAGTGTGAATCATGGTCGCGTGCGTCCCACTTCTCCTGCGCACTCCCTGCCCACTCCTCACAAATTCATCCTTCATCCCTGGATTCGTCCTCTCACTCCACTGCTATTTGCAAGCCGACAGCTCGCCAGAGAATAGACGGGCAGCGAAGGCCCCGCGCAGTATCCCGCGAGCTGTTCGCACGACCTCTGGCAGCATGGGTTCACAGTGTGCTGCGCACGGGGCCTCGGGGATCGTGGCATTCTTGCCAAGCTGAACCTGTCGAGTAGTTAGATTGTGAGTTCTGTCGGCGCTCGTGCTGATAGCGTCCTCGGCAGCAGCACGGCCGCTGCCGAGGGGGAGCGCCCTGAGCTGACGGTGTGCATTTGCCATTCTGACCCTTGCTCTTCCAGACTGTCGTCCCCGAGCCTCCAGAGCACTGCCAGGCGATCGCAAACATGGATTAAGTGGGCGTGGATTGGCCACGGGTCCCGTTTCCACGTTTTCCGCCGCCGAACGAGGCGGCACCGGCCGCATTTTGGGGAGGGCACTTCTCCCGATCCATGGATTTGGCGACCGCGCGCCAGACCCATGGATCGCTAACACATGCTTGCGCGCCCCCGACACTGGCTTTCTCAACCTGTGGGCCCTGGGGGCTCTCCCGCCCCCCTTTGCCTCGGGCTCTCGCCGTTCGTCCCACTCTGGGCGCGCCCTCGGCCCCCCGTCGGGTCGGCGGACCCCCCGGGGCCGCCCCAGCGCGCGCGGACTGGCCTCGCAGAAGAATGATGGGCCTGTCTTCCACCACCACCACCATAGGTTGGAGGGGGGCAGCAGGTGGAAGACGAGGAGGAGGAGGAGGACGAAGAGGAGGAGGGGGAGGAGGACCCCCTCCCCCTCCAGCTTCTGGTGGAGGTGGTGGTGGACAAGGCCCATCAAAGAAGAAACGCCGCAAACACAAATTGTTGGCGCTCCGCGCGGACTTCTTGGATCCGCGCTTGGCACCCCCCGGCGGTGGCGCGCTCCGCGCGCAAGGGAGGGGGTCCACTGCAGACCCAGGAAATCCGCGCGGAGCGCCACAAGTTTATTCTGCAAGGGCGCCCTCGAGGGCGCGAAGTTATTCGCGCTTCGCGGTTCGGCTCCGACTCCTCCTCACCTTCAGCTTCTCCCCTGGGAGGCGGCGCGAGAGCGCGAAATTTTTCGCACTTCGCGCTTCGCGCAGCGCGAAGCGCGAAGTTGGGAGTCCTTGATTCTTCCGCTATGGCCACTAGAAATACATTGGGACCCAAGCCAAGAAACACCCTGGTCGCCTCCGGGGGGGCCTGGGTTTCTTGTGCTTCGATGGTTGTGCTGTGGAAGCATGACGTCCCCAAACCAACAATCAATGGACGCCCTGGGATCTCCGGGTTGGGCTCCTTGTGGACGGGTTCTTGTGGACTGGCATCCCCAGAATAAGTACTCCTTTCTGAGTCCGTTCTGTGGATGATCGGGCACGCTGGTGGCCCGTAGGGCCGGCGAGCTGGCGCTGTCTGCTCTGCTCTGCTCGGGCCGCCGGCCTCCTCGAGGCCTCTACGTGGACCTCCTCGGAGCTCTCCAAGGAGACCTCGTGGCGCCTCCAGAGATCCCCGGGGCCCACAGAAACCCCCAACAAAGGTGACGAGGAGGAGGGAGGGAGGATCATAATTGGCAACGTTAGAGGGAGGGGGAGATGCATCGACCCCAAATCGGCCATGGATTGCCGACACGGGCCTGGTAGCCCATCCCGTTCAGGAACGTACGGTTTCGTTATTGGGAGCCTATCGCCGATCTATCGGCGACGTACCTCCGAGCGGATCTAGTATGTCGTCGTTTTCGTATTCATTGTTTTGCCGATCGGCGCGGGCCCTCGCATCCCCCCCTCCCATGGACTAGGTCTTGGCTGTTTCTGACGCCTGTTTCAAGCAGGTGGAGTCTCCCCCATCTGTAGGACGCACTGTTGCAAACCGTGGAATTCAGCAGACCCCCCATCGCCAGGCCGAGGCACCCCGTGGTAATGTAGTTTGAGGGTGGGCGACTGCGATTTGGCGGCGACCCTCCTTGGGAGAGCGGGATCATCATCATCATCATCATCATCATCATCATCATCATCAGCAGCAGCAGCAGCAGCAGCATCATCAGCAGCATCATCAGCAGCGTCAGCATCAGCATCATCAGCATCAGCATCATCAGCATCATCGACAGCAGCATCAGCATCAGCATCATCAGCATCAGCATCAGCATCATCAGCAGCATCATCATTACCATCATCAGCAGCACCACCATCATCATCATCATCAGCAGCACCATCATCATCATCAGCAGCAGCATCAGCATTAGCATCAGCATCAGCATCAGCATCAGCATCAAAAATGGCCGAAAGTCATCAGCATCAAGAATCGAGGCGGCGCTGACGCCGCGGGACGGCGGCCGTGGCGGCTGCGCCGCCCCGAGCCCCCCCCCCCCCCAGACGTCGGGTTCGGCCAAGAGGGAGGACGTGACGAGGGGGGGGGGTCGGACGGGGATAGGACGAGGATAAATCCGTTCCAGGGCGCTCCAGAAGGCTCGCAGAGCGTTCCGGAACGCTTTGAGAAGGCAGCGGCTCCCGATACATGCTCCAGAGCTGCCAGATCTCAGAGATTCTCGATTTATCTTCACCCGAGTGAATCCTCGTCCTGGCCTCGCCTTAGGGGGTGGATACCGTGGCTGGGGCCACGATATCTTCCTGGATTCGGGAGCCTTGGGATGGGGGTCAATGCAAACGGGTGTCGGCCAGAGCGCTGGATCTTTCAGGATCCTGTAGAGCCAGGGTGCATTGACCCGGATCATCGCGCAGGATCTTCCAGGATCTTGCGCAGCCTGATTGACTGGGGTTTGCACTGGCCTGGGTCCATAAAAGCCCAGCGGGTGTCATGGCCTCTTCTTCGTTTTTTCTTAGTATTATTAGTCTTCTTCTGATTATTCTTATTCTTAGTATTATTATTCTTCTTCATCGTCTTTTTCTTTTTTCTGATTCTTATTCTTATTGGCTATGATTTTACTGCGCCCCCTTGGTACCAGTCTTCGGCAGCGCGCATGCCTCGGGCCATGATTTGCCGACCACCCTCATGGACGCCTGCCTCTTGGGCGCCCCCGATGAGGCTGGACCCGCTGGTCAAGTTGAGCCTGGAGGAGCCCAGGCCGCCCCAGCGGGGCCAGAGCAGCTGGGGCGGGAGGATTGCGCCGCCTCGCCGATGCCCAGAGGAGGTGCATCTGGCGCCGCCGCGGCCGCCTAGTCGCGCGCGTTGGCCGTCGGTAATTTAAGCCGGTCGCGGCCCGACCTACTTCGCCCGCCGCTGGCGCGTTCGCCTGCGGCCGCTTTTTTTTTGGGAACAAAAACACCGATACCGCTGCTCGTCCCAGCGAGTGTTTTGTTCTCTACCTAGGCTCTGCCTAGAAGGGTTCTTACTCTCTGGGCTTCAAGGGGCCGGCCAGTGGAAAGCGCCCCAGGCGGTTCCCCCAGTATCCGCCCCGCGGTTCCCCCAGTTACGCCCCCTTACTGTAGCGTTGCTTATCTCATCTTAGCTTAGCTTGTTTCATCTTAGCTTAGCTTAGCTTCATCTTTAGCTCAGGTTTATCTTAGCTTAGCTTACCTTCATCTTGGCTCCGCTGAGCTTTAGCATAGCAGAGCACAGCATAGCATAACATAGCGAAGCATATCATAGCGCAGCATAACATATCATAACAAAGCCCGGCATAGCATAGCATAACGTAGCATAGCATAGCGCAGCATAACATAGCATAACGCAACTCAGCACAGCATAGCACAGCGCAGCTTAGCATAGCATATCATAGCACAGCGCAGCATATCATACCATAGCAGACACCGCGCTCGATGTTTAAGAAAACACAGGTTTGCAGCCAGAGTCTCGACATTTCTTGTCCTAGACACGCGGCTGAAGAAACCACCGGCGCTGGCCAGACCTTGGGGACATGTCTTAAGCTTGATGCTTTCTTGGAGTCGTGTGGGCGCCCACTTGGGCCACACTTGGATTCGGCTCGGGCCCCACTTGGGTTGGACTCGGGCCCCACTTGGGCCCCACTTGGATTCGGCTCGGGCCCCTCTTGGGTTGGGCTCGGGCCCCACTTGGGCCCCGCTTGGAATCGGCTCGGGCCTCACTAGGGTTGGGCTCGGGCCCCACTTGGATTCGGCTCGGGCCCCACTTGGGTTGGGCTCGGGCCCGACTTGGGCCCCACTTGGATTTGGCTCGGGTCCCACTTGGATTGGGCTCGGGCCCCGCTTGGGCCCCACTTGGATTTGGCTCGGGCCCCACTTGGTTGGGCTCGGACCCCACTTGGGCCCCACTTGGCTTCGGCTCGGGCCCCACTTGGCGGGGGCTCGGGCCTCACTTGGGCCCCACTTGGATTCGGCTCGGGCCCCACCTGGGCTGGACTCGGGCCCCACTTGGGCCCCGCTTGGAGTCGGCTCGGGCCCCACTAGGGTTGGGCTCGTGCCCCACTTGGATTCGTCTCAGGCCCCACTTGGGTTGGGCTCGGGCCCCACTTGGGCCCCACTTGGATCCGGCTCGGGCCCCACTTGGGTTGGGCTCAGACCCCACTTGGGCCCCACTCGGCTTCGGCTCGGGCCCCACTTGCGTTGGGCTCGGGCCCCACTTGGGCCCCGTTTGGATTCGGCTCGGGCCCCACTACCGCCGCCGATGTCTGTTCGCCCGATCTTTCCCAGCACGGCCCCAGCGGGCCTGTTTTCACATTTTCGCTGCACGTGGCGCCTTGGGCGTTCCGTGGAGGTGTACCCCTAGCACGCGCCACGGCACGCGCCCCGGCGACTTCGCATGGATCGCATGGGGCCCTGGCGCTCCCCAAGTGCGACTGGGGGACTGGGGCGTGCGGCCCCAGCGTCCTTCAGATCAACTCACTTCACGCTGGCCGCCGCGGGTATGCCGACGGACATGCTGCGGTGCTCGCAAGCTGCTGCGGTGCTGACAGGCATGCCGTGATGTTTCCAGGCGCAATGTGACCGTCGGGGGCCAGAGCGGCGTGCACTGGCCCGTGGCTCTCGCAGGCGCGCTGTGAGGCGCGCGGGCATAGTTGTGGCGTTCGCGGGCTAGCGCGGTGCCCGCAGGCATACTCTTGGCGAGGGGAGTCTGCAACTTCACCGGATTGCAGAACTAGAAACGCTTCATTTTCATAGCCTGGTGGCCACGCAATAGCGGGTCGGCGGATATTCGTCGCGGAGCGCTGCCCCTCCGAGTGCACGAGAAAATCACACAGGAATATGGCGTGGAGGGCTGGCCGTCCCACAGCCGTCACGGGCGCTTCAAGCCGACTTTCCGGTCTGCGCAGACGTGGCTGAACGCGCGCAATTGGAGGCCACGGAAGCCGAAAAACCTGCGCGGGGTTACGCTGGAGCAGGAGGCAATCATCATGACCACGTGGGTGAGCACGCTACAATTCACATTGCTCCAGGCGCCCGTGGACGGGGCCGCGATGAGCCCCGATGACGGTTGGCGCCCAGTGCAGGATCGGCACATCATGGACCAGGTCGGCGTGAACTTCGACCTCTTCTCGGGCGCGACGACCTGGGTAGATCCGGAAGAGGCTGAGTCGGGGCCCCAGGGCGAGCGTTTTTTTCAGGAGGGGAAACACATGCAGACACAATGATATTTCCAGTGCGTCGTAAACGTTCCAAAGTACAGTTGCGTGTTTTCTTTGTGCGTTTCTGGGGCCCCTCCCCAGCCAAGGCGGAGGCAGGGGCGATCCGCGTGCAGGGGTCTGGCTCCGGGGGCGACAAGCGCTTCGGCACCGTGCATATCTGCCTCGGATGCGACCTGGCGCAGCCGCAGCCGAAGCTCTTCATCGCGTTGATGCTGAAGGCAGGCCGCATCAGTGCTCGTGAGCGAGCAGCGTACGAAGGGCTAACCAATGTGCAAGTCGCTTTCCAGAAGTGCGCTGTGGTCGATCAACCCCTGCTGGGCCAGTGGCTTGAGAACACGTGGAAGATTTTTCGCGGTGAGAATCCAGAGCGGCACGCCCTGCTGACATTTGACAACCTCAACTGCCAGAGCCGGCTGTCGTCCCGAAGGGTGCTCGCCGATCACAAAACCGTCGGTTTGCTGGGCCGGAAGGGGTCAAGCACCCACGTCTGGCAGGGGATCGATCGAGGCGTGGGCAAGGACAACAAGTGCATCCTTTGCGAGGAGCAGACGGAGGGGTTGATGTCCAAGGAGAACTTCAAGCGCTGGCCCAAGCTGACAGCTTGGGAGAAGCAAGCGCTGTTCGCCCAGATGGCTTCGCGCGCGCACGGCCGGTGCACTGCGGAGACCAGCGGGTCCAAGCGGAGACAGACAGAGACAGACAGAGGCAGACAGACAGAGGCAGACAGACAGGCAGACCGACAGACAGACAGACAGGCCGTTAGGAGAGGGCCTCGCAGCACGCGAAGTACTTCGGGCACGCGGGCCTCACGGTGTCTGTGACGCAGGCGCGCGTGGACAACGCCAAGGCCGACTCGAGCCCGAGTTGCCAGGTGCCTCCCGTCGATCAATCCAAGATTGACGAGCTCAAGGAGCTCGTGGAGGAGTCAAGGACGACGTGGCCAGTGGCAGCGAGCCGCCTTCCTCCTCCTCGTCGAGCACGTCTTCGAGTTCATCTTCCAGCGACGAGGGGTCTGGCGACGAGGCAGCTGCGGCGCAGGCTGCGGCGGAGGAGGGCGCAGTAGAGGCCGGTATAAAACAAAACAATCTATTCATATACGAGGGCCCAAGTGAAGCGCCCCTGGAGGACCCGGGCGAGGCGGCTGGCGATGGCAGCGGGAGCGGCGAGGATTCTGGCTCCACAGATGACAACGCAGACCTGGCCCCGAGCGAGCGCGCCGACACGGCGACGGTCACTGCCCTCCTGCGGTGGGCTCACCGCAAAGGCCACCGGAACTTCATGGACGCTGCTCAGTACCTCATCCGCGCGGCCCGCCACAAGAAGGCGGCGCACAAACTGTCCCAGAAATTCGTCCTTCAGCACTCGGTCGAGGAAGCTGCGCTCGCCATCGATCCCAGCTGGAGCACTGCGCACTGCTGGACGTAGTGAACTGGAAGCCCGCTGCCCGCCTAGACTTCCGTCTGCGCATCCCTGGAAATCAGGGGGCGCCCGCTGCGGATCGCTCCAGGCCACGCCTGTCCGCGGCCCTGGAAAGCGTTCCTCCGCCCCCTCGTCCGTCGCACTCTCCCTCTGCCTCTCCTCCTCCTGAAGCTGGGGCCGAGATTGGAGCTGGGGTTAGAGCGGGGGCGGTGGCTGGAGCTAGCTGGAGTTGGAGCTAACGCGGAAGTCGAAGCTGGATCCGAATCGGGGCCCAAGTGGGGCCCAAGGTCCAGCTGGGGCCAAAGTGGGGCCCAAGCGGTGCTGGACCTGGAGCTGGAGCTGAGCTGGAAGCATCAATGCACATCCTGGACGCTATTTTCGCCTACCGCCGCCTGCGCCCGTTCGCCCGATCTTCCCCAGCACGGCCCCACTTGGATTGGGCTCGGGCCCCACTTGGGCCACGCTTGGAATCAGTTCGGGCCCCACTAGGGTTGGGCTCGGGCCCCGCTAGGGTTGGGCTCGGGCCCCACTTGGATTCGGCTCAGGCCCCACTTGGAGCGGGCTCGGGCCCCACTTGGGCCCCAATTGGATCCGGCTCAGGCCCTACATGGGTTGGGCTCGGGCCCCACTTGGGCCCCACTTGGATTCGGCTCGGGCCCCACTTGGGCCCCACTTGGATTCGGCTCGGGCCCCACTTGGGTTGGGCTCGGACCCCACTTGGGCCCCACTTGGATTCGGCTCGGGCCCCACTTGGAGCGGGCTCGGACCCCACTTGGGCCCCACTTGGATCCGGCTCAGGCCCCACTTGGGTTGGGCTCGGGCCCCACTTGGGCCCCACTTGGATTCGGCTTGGGCCCCACTCGGGCCCCACTTGGATCCGGCTCGGGCCCCACTTGGGTTGGGCTCGGACACCACTTGGGTCCCGCTTGGATTCGGCTCAGGCCCCACTTGGGTTGGGCTCGGGCCCCACTTGGGCCCCACTTGGATCCGGCTCAGGCCCCACTTGGGTTGGGCTCGGGCCCCACTTGGGCCCCTCTTGGATTCGGCTCGGGCCCCACTTGGATTCGGCTCGAACCCCACTTGGGTTGGGCTCGGACCCCGCTTGGGCCCTACTTGGGTTCGGCTCGTGCTCTACTTGGGTGGGGCTCGGGCCCACATTCATGCACATACCGAGCCCCCGGGCCAGACCCTCGCCATTTCTTAATGATGTTTAAGAAACCTGCCGGCGCGAGACCATGCATTTCTTAACCCCTGATTGATTAACCATTTCGCGCGGTGTAACATGGCATCGCACAGCATAACATAACATAGCACAGCACATCACAGCACAGCATAGCATAGCATAGCATAGCGCAGCATAACATGGCGTAACATAGCATAGCATAGCAACTAATGCTGCTTTCCTAGGGGCTCCAGCTTCTAGGTAGGGTCGCACTGGGGTAATTTAACGATTATTTTGCCGATCGGCGCGGGACCTCGCACCCCCCCCCCCCCCCCATGGAGTAGATCTTGGCTGTTTGGGGCGCCTGTTTCGCGCAGGTGGAGCCTCCCCTCATGGGGCCCGCTGCTGCAAGCAGTCGCACTAGGCAGGGGTCCAGAGCCAGACCCCCCTCTCCCCCCCCCCCCCCCCTTCCGCCCAGCGTCGCAACGCCGAATTAAAAGAAACCCTCGTCCTGGAGAGCCTTCGTCGCCACGGCTCGATTCTCCTCGAGCGCCGAGCCAGGAACGCAGTTCAGGCGAGGTCCGCGGAGTCTCCCAGCATCGCCATGCTCCTGCTCCTCTTTTTTGCATTGGCGACGCGGCGCCTTCCGGGGCCCTACTCTGCCTACCCCTACATGTCTCAGGAGGCAGGAGGAGAGAAATAACACATACACAATTGATCTTCGATTCCCCAGAAGATATGGGAAAACATGGGAAGTGGGGGAGAAGACAAAAACCCGGGAAAGATTTGAATATCTGGGGAATCCTGGGATTCGTGCGTGCGTGTGCGTTTATTTGCGTGTCCCAGGCCCCCGCATGCACATCCTGAGCATCAGCGCTGGGGGTCGATCCTCCGCCCCGCTTGGAGCTTCGCTGGGAATCGTGACCGATGCGCGGACCTTCGCCCGCAAGCTGCCCGCGCAGGGTCGCGCGCCAGCGCGCTCGCCCCCGCGCGGCGTGCCGCGCCGGCGGTTTGCGTGTTCAAGCCGCCGCGGGAGGCCTTTCGGCCCTCCCGCCTGGTTTCTTCTCTCCCCCCCGCCAGGGGCCACGATCGGGGAATAAGACCGATTACAACCACTTCGGACTGTTCAGAAATTACTTCGGTCAGACCACAACCGTTAGAAACGGACTGATCGCAACCTGAAGGATTCCTATTCAAATCTTGGTGGACAACGCCAGATTGCAGCCGATCCAAGACCTCTCGCAGCTCTGCTGCAGAGCCTTTGCAGAGCTTATGCGGAGCTTATGCAGAGCATCTGCGGAGCTTCCCAAAAGCTTTGCTGAGCTTCTACTGAGCTTTTGCAGAGTTTCTGCAGAGCTTCAGAAGACCTTCTGATGAGCATATGACGAGCTTCCGAAGAGCTCACGCTGTTCTGAAGAGCCTGCGCAGTGCTTCTGCTGAACTTTTGATGAGCGTATGTAGTGTTCCTGCAAACATTCTACGCAGAGCTTATTCGGAGTTTCTGCAGAGCGTCTGCAGAGCTTCCGAGGAGCTCCTGCAGAGCTTCTGCTGAGCTTTTGCATAATTTCTGAAGAGCTTCTTCAGGGCTTTTGGAAGAGCTTCTTGCCGAAGAACTGTTGAAGAGGACTTACAAAACGTATGATGAGCTTCTGCAGAGTTTTTGCAGAGTTCCTGATGAGCTCCTGCAGAGCTTCTGCAAAGCTTCTGAAAAGCACATGAAGAGCTTACGGAGCGCTTCTGAAGAGCTTCTTTCGAGATCACAGCGAGGCCTCTGAGAGGCCTCGGCGAGGTTTGTTGTTCAGTGGCTTCTCCTGAGGCCACGCTTCTCTGAGAGGCCTATCTGAGGTCTACCTGAGGCTTTTCTGAGAAGCTTCTCTGACAGGCTTCTCTCAGACTGCTTAGAAGCCGAGGCCTCTGCGAGGACACAGCGAGGCCTCTGAGAGGCTTCTCTGAGGCCTTAGCGGGGCTTCTGAGATGCTTCCCAGAGGCGTGTGACAGGCTTTTGAGAAGGCTTAGTATGAGCTCTATTGGGCGCTCTAGTTGAAGTTCTATTTGGCGCTCTATTCGGAGCTCCACTGCGCGCTCAATCACGAGCTCTATTGCGCGCCCTATAAGGAGCTCGCATCTGATTCGGAACTTGTTGGGGTGTTTTACTTGGCGCTCTATCGCTCGATTCAGAGCTTCGTTGGGCGCTCTACTCGGCCCTGTTAGAGAGCTCCGAAGATTCCGGGAGAGTAGAAGTTCCCTTGTAGGACTTGTCGAAGATTCCCGAAGAGATCCTCTAAGGATCCCGGCGACTTCCTCAGACAAATCACATTGGAATCGCATGCGGCCCACATCGGAGTCGCACGCGGATCGCATAGGAACCATCTACACATCGCATGGGGATCGTAAATGATTCACATCGGATCCGTGAACGGATCATGGTTACGATCGAGCTCGAGTACATGCGTTTAGTTGAGAGCATGGTCGGCCGTCGGTGCCCAGACCGTTCGCAGCCGCTCTTACAGTTTCCCATTGGGCGCCTTGAGGGAGTTCCATGCACTTCGAAGCGGTCTCATGACCTCTCTGTCAAACGGACCTTATTGGAGCGACCCAAAATCATCGCAACCACTTCGGACCGATCGCAACTGGTTGTGATCAGTCCGAGGTGACCGACGATCGGTCCGAAGTAGTTGCGATCGGTCTCCATCGCGCCACGATCGGGGGGGGGGCAGGCGCAAGGGGGGGCGCGTCGACCCCCAATCACCCAGTGATTGCCGATATGGTCAAGTCGGGCCTGTCCCACAGCGGGAGGAATATCCAAAAATAGTACAACACATAGTCCAGGGGCGATGTTTGAAAATTTGCGCCCGCTGCCTGCGCACATCGTAATGTGTTTATTTCTTCCGCCCAGAATCCGCCTGCAGGGGGGCGTGCCCAGGAAAGCGCGGATTCACTCTCGAGGGCCCATCGCCGATCCGTCGGCGATGCGCCGCCGACCCCAGGCCGACGTCGCCCCCCCCCTGCGCCAGTCGCCCCCCTGTCTCAGGAGGGGAAAATATGCAGACGCGTGCGTTTACTCCGCTCGCAGGCGCGTCCGCGTGGGCGAGGCCATCGGGCGCCCGTGGCGGCCGCCCCGGGGCCTGCTGCCTGGCTGCTCGCTCGCAGTGTTCACCCTGGCCGCGCTGTCCCTGCCGCGGGCGCGAGCAACCAGCAGGTTGGGCGATCGGCTGCGCCGGCGCACGCACGCAGGCGACTCCGCGCTCTGGGCGCGGGCGGCCACGGGAGACAGGGCGGGCGTCGCCGAAGTTGCGCGGGGCGCGCTGCGCTTACCGGCCGCATCTGAGACAGCCATGGGCTGGGCCCTGGACCGCGCCTAGAGCAAGCAGTTCGCCAACGGCAGGGAGCTCTGGCGCTGGCTCGCGGAGCAGATCGCTGGGGTCCAGGCGGTCGCTGAGATCCGTGACCTGGGGGTCGCGACCGCCGCGGGCAGGGCCGGGCGCTGCCCGCGGCGCGCTTGCGCGGGGCCTCCATACGGTTTGCCCGCCTCGGCCGCCTGCCACTCAGCTTCGGGGGCCGCTGCCTGCTGGGCGCCGCCGCTGGCGCAGCCGCGGGCCTCTGCGGCGCCGCGCGCGGACGGCCGCCGGCCTGCGAGCTCGCCGGCCCCCGTGCGGCGGCGAAGAAGGCCGCTTGCCGCGGTGATCGCAGCCGCCTTCCGCAGTTTGGCCGAACTGCAGATGGGGGCCGACGTCGAGGCCTGGAGTGGCATCCCAGAGGCCCCCGACGGCTGGCGCCCAGCCGCCCGCGCCCTCCCGGACACTCACGCAGCGCCGCTGGATGCCCAGGGGCGGCGGGAAGCCCGCGAAGTCGGCGGGCGTCGGGCAGACTGCCAGCACCTCACGGGAGGCGCGGATCGCTGGGCGACTCGCCGGCTCTTGGAGACGCGGCAGCTAGCGCCCGGCGCTGCGGGCGCCTTGCGGACGGTGATTTCTGGCATTGTGATCACGGAGCCCATGGCAGCCAAGTCGGGCCGCGGGCGCGCCCCCGCTGCGGGGGCCACGGTCGAGGATCTCGAACACAGGCTGCGGGCGCGCCCGCGATGGCAAGCGACGCGCCGCGCGGCTTTCGCGACGAGCGGCGTCACC